GTTGTATGTTTATGTTGTTTTTTAAAGAAATGAATAAACTAACTGAACTGAAGAACTGAACAATAAATCTTTGCACCCATGTGACACTTCAGAGAAGATTACTGAGCCTGAATCAACTGTTACAAAATCAAACTTAACAGGATTTCATCTCAAATAAAATGTATCCTCTCTGAGGAGCAAATAAACAAAGATTATTATGTTCAGTTATGTTTTCCAGAGTCTCACAACACAAAGCCGATCGTCTCGTCCTGCAGGACACAAACCCGAGCTGTGATCCCAGGCAGCCTGGGAATGTTCGGGATCGCACAAACAACCTTTATGCAGCCCGAGCGCCTCGGCGTGCGCGCTGGAAATGACATTAGGCCGCGTGCGAGCTCTTATCGGCCTCCTCTGTAACGATATTCAAAGAGAAGMACAACAAAACCAGACGAAAAGCCTCTCCTGCTAATTTGAATAAACGTTTTCTGTCGTTCTGAGCAGACAGACGCAGCCGCAACTAACTCTGTTTTATTATTAAATCAARCCGATGTCAGAGTAAAATGATTAACGCTGAAGTTTTGTTTTGTCTAACAATCTTAACTGTGTTTGTGGGTCAACTTAAAACAAACCGTCTGAAATGTGCCTGGATTTACCTGATAAAAGACGATGATAGATTGAAACAAAGGAAGCGTTTGGAAAAATTTGAAACTGACATTAAAGCAAAACAAACAGAGCAGAAAAATACATTTTACATCTTCAGGAAATGAATCCTGCTTAAAAAAAACTGTTAAACCGACTTTTCTTTCGTTTACTTTTATGATTAAAAGAACATGTTTGTCATTTTATGCATATAAAACATGTAATAAAGCAAAACATTTGACTTGTACAGGTGTGCTGAGAGGATGAGGAGCTGCTGGAGATTCAGATTCTGTTTGTTTCTGATAAAATGGATTATTCCTGTTTTACAGGTGGACAAAAAGGTAAATCTGAGGAAAATATATCGTAATAACAGTCGCTATAAACTCATACTTTCCTCTTGTCTCTGTGTTTCTATGGTCCTCACACACGATACTTTAGCATTTTAGCTACTAAAGCTGCTGAAATGAAAGAAAACTGAAAACTCATCAGTGATCATGTGACCACATCGCTGAAGATAAAGTGTATGGGTTAAAACGAGAGCAACAATTGCATTTTGTCAAAATATAATAGGCAAACACCTTTTCTACGAGTCAATTAAATGAAAAGTTTTCAAGCGCTTTTTTAAGCTACGAAAAAAGATTTTGAGCAGAAAAGCTGTAATATTGTCATTTTCCCTGCAAGCATCAAAGCTATTTTTGTCTCTTTCTCTTAAATCAATATCCAAATGTTGTTTGATGTTTTTTTTTCTTTAAATTGTTTAAAAAATCCTCATTAAAACGACCTGAAACTAAGATTCAGACCAAACATCAATGAGTTTTCCTGATTAGGAAGACAAAGCAAAGCAAATCTCTGGGACCGGGACTAAAAGATGATCCAGGCATCAAAAATAAAGCAGGAAATCTGAAAAAAGTCTTCTAATCCTCAGTTTGTGACGGGTCACTAGGCCTGGCGCGATACACAATAAATGAATTAATCGCACGACAACTTTTTTTTGAGGTCGGTAAGTTTCATTTTCCTGCTTGTTTGTTTACTTCATCTCTCTCCCTCTCTGTGCTCCGC